GACCATTACGGCAAGGCTGGGATGGTCCATTTGGTAAAGTAAATCCGTTGGGCATCTTTCCTCGCCTTTAGACAATAATTCTGATGGCAAAAGAGCCAAACGGGACAGGCAAAAAACAAAAAAACAAACAAACAAGAAAAAAATATCAAAGAGGATCTGGTCGGTAAAAAGAAAACATTTGGAGATTACTATTTTAGTGCTGGTAGCGTTAATCTAATTAAAATGACAATAACGCCATAACTACATTAACGCGGCAAATCTCTGTTAACGAGTTACCGCAGATAGCCCTGCGTTCGTGGGGCTGGACGGCTTCAACGCGTTAATGAGCTAACCACGCTAATGCGTTGGCGCCATGCAGCTTCACTTACGGGGGCTGCACGACTTAAAATCTTTTCAGTTTCTCAAAAATCAACAGCACGCTTTTTGTATGAATTGTGGTTGTGCTTACTCACCAGGAACCGATTTTATGTGGTACACGGCGCTCAACAATCTGTCAAAAAAAGTTTTAGTACTAGTTTTGTAAGCTACAAAGCTGCACCGCTTGATGGATTGTCGGAGCATTACAGCTACGGTAGTCAGAAGCCTTGCAGAGTGATACGTACTGTGCTTCAACGTGATATTACCGTACTGTGTAATATTATAAGGACCACAAATGGCACCTGTTAAGAGACAAGGTTACGAAGCGGATTTCAAACTCTAGGCTGTCAGTCACGCAGTAGAACTTGGGAACAGAGCAGCTGCGAAATCTGTCTTTGTTATTATGCTCAGCGTCTTTTTAGTTTACATTTTGACTGCACGATTCAGCCAAAGAATATCGAGATATGAATTTTGGGTGATATCGCCCAGTCCTAGTATTTGGTAACTTATCACTGGAACTCTCCATAGGAGGTCCAAAAAGATGTAAACACAAGTGAAGAAGACTGAGAAACCAAAGTAAATGTATTAGAGTGAGAAATCTTTTGTACCACATCATTGATTTGGCCTTAAAAAGGAGTGAACGTGTCAACCAGCTCAGCAACACCAAAAGACCTGAAAGACCACATGATCGAACACTTCAGTCTCTGATTAAGAAAATCCCTTCACAACATCTAGCCAAGGCAGGAACACTCTCAAAGAGAAAGGTGTATCATTAGCAAAGCCTACAATCAATGGAACCAGTGAAACAGAGTCAATAGTGTTTATTGATGACGTGACTGCTGAAGGAAGAAGCAGGATGAATTATTTAGAGGCAAGAGTTTCTTTTTTTAGATTCAGCCAAATATGATGAGGTGTTGCTTTACAGTGGAAATGGATAATGACATAGAAGTAAACTGCCAAAGATGCCCAAGTGTCAGGGACTGTCTGTGACCCAGATTTTGAGTTTATTTTTGTATTTGTGATTGAAAGGATGTTAAGTTCTAGTATTATTATCAGTTAGCCTTGAGTTTTAAGTCTAGTTTAGGTTCTTCTATGTCTCCTTAGTTATGAGTCTTTTCTCAGTGTTTTACTTTCAGTTACGCCTGTGTGTTTGTCTCTGCGTGTTCTATGTTCTAATTGTGGTGTTTTCATGTCTACATCTGTCCATGTTTTATTTTGAAAAGTCTGGTGTGTCCATGTTTAACGTGTTTAGTTTTTCTTCCCCTGTGGCGTCATTATGTTTATTCCGGTCAGCTGTTTCCCCATGTGTTTCCACTTGCCCTGATCACCTCCTGTGTGTATTTAGTCTGTGTGTTTTCATTCAGTCTTTGTTAGGTTGTCTGTTTTCCTTCCCTCCACATCACATCAAGTTCCATGTACTTCATGATTCTGCTCAGGTTGTGTTCATGTTTCATGTTCATGTTCTTCATCATAGTTTCTTGCACATTCCTGGTCAGAATCATGTTCACGTCTGTGTTCATAGTTACCACAGTTTAGTTTTTAGTTTAGTTTTCAACCCTGCTGTTCGCCTTTTGCTTTATTTTTGTAGTCATGTCTAACTCGCCATAATAAACGCCTCGCTTTTTGTTTAAACCCAGTTTGGTTTCCTTCTGTGTCCGCGGTTAGATCCTCCTTCTCACTCCCACCAAGAGCTTCTCAAGGCAAGTGAATGGTCTATTATCCAATAGCCAAGTCAGTCACCTGATCTCAGCCCAGTGAAGCATGCTTTTTAAAGACCCTCAGACAAGCAGCAGCTGAAGGCTGTTGCAGGAAGGGGCTGGCAGAGCATCTCAAAGGAGGAAACGCAGCATTTGCACAAGCACATTGAGCTACTACTTCATCTAAAGTCTGTATATAAAGATACAGGCTGGCAGTCATCGCTTCATTGTTGATGCCTATACCTGTAGCGTAATAGTACTATTAATATCGAATACTTACAATATTCATGACAGCAAGTATGTAGCTTTCCACAGCTTTGCTCCCATGATAGTCCACCATTTTGGGGTCAGCCACCACCAGCGTTTCCACCCATTTCTCTTTGCTGACAGAGCGTTGACGAATTCTTCTCCTCCTTCTCTGCTGCCTGCGCTCCCAACGCTCCCGCTGTCTCTCAATGTCTTTAAAGCTTTGATGATAATCTGCAGAAGGGAAATATAAATAGATATTAAAATCTTTCACACTGACACACAACAACAAAGACTAACTGTGACTTTACCTTGTCACATGTAGTACACAGTGCTGTTAAACAAATCTTTGCCCTTGGTCATCCTCTTCAGCAATCTCTAGCTGATCTTTCTGAGTATTTTCTGATCGTGTCTTTATTGGATTAGACAAAAACACATATAATAGATATACACATGCATACTAGGAAAATGCTTAGCACTTGGGCAGCAACCTCCAAGCACATACAGACATACGGATGACAAACACAGCATACAAATGAACACAAGTGAAGCGAGCTCAGAGAAAAGGTCACGTGTTGTTTGTTTGCACAATAAAGGCCACTCTGTTTGTCAGCTGCAAAAAAGTCAATGTTTCATCCTCCTTATTATATTGTCAAAAACTTTAACATTTACATACTCTGGGACAGGAAGCACAGTGGGCACACCAACAGCAGACACACATATATTACTGTTGCTATGACGAAGCCGAAATATCAGCTTCAGAAATGAATGAGAATTACCGGATACACCTCAGTTCATAGACCACTCCTAATGATACTAAGGCTTACAGGGTGACTCAGATCATTCTGTAGTGTTATTTATCAATCAGTTTAAACTGACATGGATGCAACGGTTAGCATTTTGTGCTGCGAAAGCCAAAAAAAAAGTCTCAGTCAGGCTGATCTAAGGGTGCAGTGAAGCCTGGAGTATGTAAAATGTAATGTAGCAGTTTACGCATTAGCCAATTCAATTCAGTTTTATTTATAAAGCACCAAATCATGACAACAGTCATCTCAAGGTACTTATAAATAAAGATAAAGACCCTACAACAATACAGAGAAAACCTCAACAATCGGATGACCGGCTATGAGCAAGCGCTCCCCCCTCCCTGTGACTGGTAAGGGGTGAGGGCAGGGAGACAGAACAAAAGACATGTTATGGAAGAGCGCCAGAAATTAATAACAGCTAGTGATTAAATGCAAAGTGGTGTATAATCACATATTGAGTGAGAAAAGGTGAGTGATGGTGCTGTCCCCAACGACGTCTTGGATAGAGATGAGTCTGCTGTCAGATGCTGTACGAAGATCATGACATCAAGGAAGACCCAACAAGTGAAAGACTCTTAGTTCTGATTTCAAGAGGACACAAATCCTTTGTTTGCATCAAAAAGAGCATCAAACATCAAAATGCTGCCAAATAGGGAACAATCTGCTGTAAGTAAGCAGCTGAAAATAGCTTGAGCAGTTGTTCTCAAACCATTTCTTCCATTTCCTGCTTCAGAAGCTAAAAAAGTCTTCAATTCAAAACATGACCCTATCATGGTTATATGTATATAAATGTACATATAACCGTCATATGGTAAGAACGAAACTAAGCTGAAGGTTTAGTGAAATAATAAGGCATTTCCCCCTACATAAATCACCTTCATTCAACTTACTCTCAGTTCATATTTGTGGTTCACACACCCTCCCAGTTTATGAACCACAGCCACACAGAAAGAAAAATCTCTAGGATTGGCTGACATATAGCGATACAGTGATTAAGTGCACAATTTAAACACAGGCCTAGAGGGGATGCGCTTAATGATTTGAAAATTCTGATATTACAGAAACTGCTTAAATCAACGTTCAGACCTTATCAGTCTGTTCAGCAAGCTGAAAAGAAATAACAATATAAATGCTAAATGTGTATTTAATCAATTAAAACCATACACAAGCTTCTTTGTCCTTGAAAATGCGTCTGTGCTATCATTCGTTAGAAATCAAAACAAGTAATTTACTTTGCAATTTGGAAGATGCAATGAAGTTTATGTATTTCAATGCAAGTAATAAGCTAATAATACATCTTTCCAAATACAAAAAACTGAGCTTGATTGGTGTTTAAAGTAGTGTTTAAAGTAATACTTAGGCACAACTATAACTCTGCCCTGATATTTTGTTGTTGGTGTTGTTGTTAAGCTGATTCTGAAAGCAAACCCTCAAATCCTCTGGGACATCTATTTTTTTTCCAGGGCCAATTAATTCAACTCAGAATTTTAAGCAGCTGGTTTACGAACGTCTGCATTTCAGTGGCTTTATTCTTCTAACCTCTGCAGATTATTACCAGGAGACAAATGAAAGACAAGAGATTACTTATAATCATCTTTCTCATCATTCAGTGCTTAGTAGCTAATGAGTTATCAGTATTTTGACTTTTGAATTAAGCATTTTCATTGAACAAGTAAAGAGATTTAAGGCCTTAAGATATGTAAATATAGTACTTATCTCCACTGCTGTTACAAAAAAAACAAAAACTTGCACATCACCATGACCTTAATCACACTGGGAGCTGTTGGTATTTTGCGGTTTCTGTATTTACAAGAAAAAAAATAATGTCTGACGCAATATGAGGGCTTACATTTTAGCCACAAATGTTGTCTTTACAGTGCAAACATTGATCATTTAGTTTTCAAACTGCCTCCTCTTGCTGCACGCCACACACAGCGACCTACTCGAATGTGGGAGACATGATAAGATGATGGAGGTCAGCTGCATGGGTCAGGCTCCCCTGGCACCACACTCTGAACCCACTGCTCCTCGCCTTCCCTGCAGCTGAGCCACAACCCACACCCTGTCACACTCATTTTTAAGATATTAACAGATATTAGCTTTGCCAGCTTTGCCTTAACTACAGAAAAAAATCTTTCGGTAATGCATCCGTTTACGTGTTTCCATGAATGCTCAATCATTCAGGGAAGGAAGCACCGGAAAGTTAATGGTGTTCATCTGGATCCAGATGAAAACAATCAACTTTCTGGTGCATCTGTTTGTACTACAAATCGTTAGTTTGACATCCTGTTTAAAAAAAAACAGTATAATTTCTATGCTGTGCTTTCTTTGCTAATGTAAGTAAATGTGCACGATTTACCTTTGATTCCACAGGTACCGTTGAAAGGTCGTTTCCCTGAGATGGGCTGTATGACTGGGCTCCAGGAGGGAGGAGACACATGCCGTTTGTAGATGGCATGGGCCTGTGGTGCTGATGTTTCATCACTTGATGTCTCCAGAGGCTGAATAAAGAACTCTTCATCAGACAACTTGAAGAGTCCCGTCTAAAGAAACAAAGAGCTGTAAGTCAGTTCTTCAAATCTCTTTAAACTATTTTAACTGTTGCCAAAGAGCGAACTGCTGAAATATTGAGAAACAAAACATTGCTCTTGATTTGCTCTTCTGTCGTCAAAGATACAGTATGTAATGGGTAGGCAAGACATCACACAACTGCATACAACATTGATTAGTAAGTTAATCCAAGTTTTTGACAAGAAAATTGATCAGAAGCATTTTTATATATTATGCTCTGCAATAAGGCGTTTTCTCTCACAGTGCCATATTTAATGATCTTACTTTAATGAACTTACATCACCTTACACCATAAACAACTGAAGATGTCTGCTTTTGAGTATTTTGATTGGAGAATTGCAAAACAGTGGAGACACTGTGTTTGCAAAGTATTTAAAATCTACATGTAGCCAGCAACATCTTTTAAAAAACACCAAAACGTTGCAACAACAGGATTTCTTTTTACCATGCCAGGTGTTTGGAAACTGAGATCAGCTGCTCTAGTTCTCTAGAAATTGAATTGTTCTTTTTCTTGTTCCAGCTACTCCACACCTTCTTTGTCTATTTTTCCCCCATTTCATAATGTATCAAATGTTTGCAGTGGGAACAAAATCTGGGCTGCAGGTCGGCCAAGCAGCACTCTTTAACTATGGAGTCTGTTACTTTATGTGCTGCAAGTGTTCAATCCAAGTCCCTAATTTTTATGGTAGTAAAATGATGCATTTGCATTTTTAAAGGCAAACTGGCCCCAGAGTATACTCCACCTCTGACCCACAGCTGAGAGGCTCCAGCCTGGCACAACCCTGAACTGAACAAGCAGTTAAGAAAATACAACCTGAATAACCGCGCTAAGTGGTACTTTCTAAAACTGTTTTTAATATTTAATATTATTAAATACAAATATTATTATTAATATATATAAACATTACATACAGTACTGAAGACTAGTGAATAAAAATGCACAAGCACATGAAAACACATCGAGTAAGCTCCCACTGAAACAGCAAAAACAGCCCCAAGTCATAATTTTTCTGTCGTACGACTGAGCCGGGGAAAAGATCAAATGTCTTTTAAGCAACTGCATAGTAAATCAGGCAGGCAGGCACTAGGCCAAAACCAAATTCCCATAGGCCCCCCGTTGACCATCGCTGTCTTATATTTCATTCTTATCCACCCTCTGCTCCAGTTAATCCCTTTTTCATCTTACACAGTGTCCAAGTGAAGCTCAGGCAGGAGGGCTGGCCGTTATATCCGAAGCCCACACACTAAAAGCTGAGCAGCAAAAATAGTTTTCATCTCATCTCCAAAAAAATACAATATCAAAGATATACTGGCTTTAAAGGTTGGCTGTTGGTTGGTGCTGACATTTCCCAAAATGCTGCATCATTCCAATTTAGAGTCAAGTGTACTGACTGAGGTAACAGGTTGAGTAAATAACACAGAACCTTCAAATGTAACATTTGAAATGTAAAATAAGCCATTAAACACGTCAGTTAATCTAACATGTTCTTGTTTTAATCTGTCTTAGTAAATGCAATCACAGCTCGCTGGATAACAATTTCAGTGCTTACTGGACCAATGCAGTAAATCAGGGGTGAAATGAAATCCAGTCATTAAAGTATGTTCCTATTGTAACCGAGTTTCCTTTTCAAATACCTGCATACCATTTAAGCTGTTTTAGCCTGACCACGGTGGAGGTGCGTATGGAAGCTGATCTACAACTTCGGCCCAGCTCCTTTTCTTTCTCTCTGACTCAGTTGGTGTTATTTGTCTTGTGTACTATGTTAAGTGTGGGAGGCTCTTTCTCCAGTTTGAAGGAAATGCACGGAGGCAAGAACAATAGTCATGCCGGGAAATATATTGTGGTTGGAATAATCTTTTGTGATTTCGTATTTGGGAGGAAACTTACACACATAGTTAACATATAAATATGTAATATATTTCAGTAAGAAAGGGAGGCTTGTTGATCTGAAGTTTTGAGTCATTTGGGAAGTGTTGCAGTCTGTCAACATGATAGAGTCACAACCACAGGAAGAAACCGTCCTGAAACTACAGGTTTCTGGCTGTGATCTAAAACATGAGGACTTATGGGACTCCTTTGCAAGATGCTCTTTTGTGCAGCACTTCAGCTTTGAAAGTGAAGAATAATCTGCAGACAGTCAAAGAAGATGACGCACGTAAAATCGACTCCATCAATGTTAAAGATGTGTAACTGAGTTTTCTATCAAAGTTTCTTCATCTGTAATATCAGTCAGCTTTGAAAAACGAAAAAAGGATCGCATTGGAAACATGTTTTACTTTCATCAATATACTTGGTTCTTATAAAGCAAACTAATAAGTGCCTTCAATATTCAAAATACTCTTAATCTCATCACTGTCTGTGTTTTACCAAAAGCAGACAGGCTGAGCTCTGGCAAGTGAACCAAGCTGAGGTGCTGGCAGAGGTTTACTTGCTGCTTTGCACCACAGTAATTAGTTACCTGCATAGACTGTGTGCTAAAGATCAGTACTTTGAACCTGCATTCTTCCTTGTGAGTGCCAGCAGTGAGCAGCTCCTCATGTTGTGAAAAAGAAGTCCAGTTGTATAAAAGTCTGAGAAAACCCCAGTAAACACTTTCCTAATTAAATTATGGCTTCGGCTGTCGGCCTAAAGTTTCACTCATTACATGGATGCAAAACAGGGCATACTTTAGGGCAGGCCAACCTTATAAATGTCAAGTCGCTATCGTGCGAGTGTGGAGTGTCGCTCCAATTTTTTCACTCAGAATCACCAGATGTGACATCTGGTTTCAAACAGGATTTCACAAACTAATGTGTGACGTCACTTTGGCTGTGTCAGTCTTTTATATATGGTCTGTGGTTGTCTGCAAACACTTTTTTACTTTGTTTTATGTTTTGGTCAACATGCTGAAGTGTTGAAAAAGACACAGGTATGTATGTGAGTTACCCAAGAAATAAAACTTTCATTTTTACTTACTGTATGGAAATTAGTTTCTTTATCTACAGGGAACCATCAGGAAATAAAAGTGTTTGAATATATACCATCATACTCTTTTGCTTTTCTCAAAGAAAGTTAATTTCACTGGGACATTTAAGGGCATTTCAAGTCAGCTGTACAATTTCTGGACTAAAGTGCAATCAAGAAGTCTTTCAAGAACCAGCGGAAGGATGATCGTAATCCAGCTGATCGTGTGTTTTACTTGATGTAAATCAGACAGGCAAATAACCCAAATCGTGCAAGGAGCCGGCAGAGCGCTGGCAAAACACCAGCAATGTGGATACCATATGTCTGCTGATGTGTTTCTGACTTAAAAAAACAAAATGTCAGTAAAGAGTCTACCACTAATTATTAAATAAAATAATTTATTTAGTTTTTTTTTCTACATTAATTAAATGTTATTATACCACATACCTAAGAGTTTTTGACTGATACTAGTGCTGCAAAGCACTGCATTGTAAAATATGCAGTCCCGCCAGTAAATAAAGATGTGGAGGAAGATTAGAAGCAAGAAAACATGATTGCTTTTTAAGAGGAACCTGTCTTCTGGGAGGAAAATTTTTCTCATTTTATTGTAATTCAGCCCTGAGCTGAACAACTTCAGCTACACAGGAGACACACACACACACAATCATCTGAACAATAAGACAGCATTTGTGGCTTTTACTATCACACAAATTCTTGTTGTGTCATGTTCAGCAAGAGAACATAATGAACTTCATCCATGTGACCATAGAAGGCATCTCTATCATCCATCCATCCATTCGCTTCCGCTTCTCCTGGCATCTCTATCAATTACACTTTAATATTTAAACCAGAGTGAGTTTACATATGCATGGGAATTCTGCTAAATAGGTAGATACTCATTGACCACTTCATTAGGTGCACCTATTCGACTACTTGTTAATGCCTTTAGGCATGCAGACATGGTCAGGACAGCCTGTTAGGCATCGGAACCATAAAAAAAGGCCCTTTAAGTCAGCGGTCCCCAACCTTTTTTGCACCACGGACCGGTTTATGCCCGACAATATTTTCACGGACCGGCCTTTAAGGTGTCACGGATAAATACAACAAAATAAAACTAGTACCGGTACCGAAAAAAGAAGATTTATTCATAACACACGTGAAAAGACCCAGGAAAACCGAGAGAAAATAACGCTGAAAACCGGTAAAAACCTTGAAGACCATACATTTCACACCTGAGCCTCAACTTTCGCGGCCCGGTACCAAACGACTCACGGACCGGTACCGGTCCGAAGCCCGGGGGTTGGGGACCGCTGCTTTATGTGACTTTGAACATGATAACTGGTGTCAGACAGGCTCGTCTGAGAAACTGAGAAACCTGATAACCTGATGCTGAATGAATTTTTATACACGACTGTTAGTCATCAGTCTGTCAGCATTACAAGAGAGTAACGCTTCGCTTTTGAGCTCTGACTTTTGTTTCAAAAGTTGCACTGCAGTTTACACACTCACTTAGGCACAGGGCTAAACAGCTTCTAGCTAATCTCTGAAAAAAGTGCTCTCTTTCTAAAACTACAAATCAAAATGAAGAACAGCTTGGAGCATATTATAATAAACGTGAAATAGTGATCTATGTTGTGATTATTTATTATTGTGATCGATGTGAATAATATCTCCATTTGGAAATTTCAGACAGAGAAAAGAGAGGTGGTGAGTAAGTATCTTTTGAAAGCCCTGGTCCAGATCTAATTTGGAGAAATACGACTGCAGCATTGTGATAATGCAGTGTCAAGGATCTAAGTGGTCTGAATGCAAATCATGCCCACCGTATCCACTTGTGGTCTAACTAATCTCTCTTTTATGAGCGCACATCTGTTACAGACACAGTGGAGAGCATAAATCACTGGCCTAATTTTGAACAAACTCAGACAGAGCAGGAGTGCTCTGTGATTTTAAAAAATGCACTCATGAGAGTGACACTTCTGTGGCGACAAAGGGACAAAAACGGAAGTTCAATATACATTTAGTACAAAATATAAAGGCGGGCTCCATTACTCGCAATACTCAAGTTTAAACCCTGCTATAAAAGGAAGTGCATCAGGCACAATTTTCCGTCTGATGGAATACGCTCCCACGAGAACGTCTGCAAATCAGGGAAATGCTGGATCCTTATTATGTGTGCAATGCAAATCTCTAAAAAATGTTACAACCAATATACATCTATATATTTTATATATGGCTGAGTCTCTTTATATCCACTCGTTGTGTATAAATGTGGAGCTGTGGTTTCAAAGTGTTTTCTAGGCTTCTAAGCACAATTAGCTTTCAAGTCTGAAGGTCCTCCTTTTTAATGCTCTGCCAGGCCTTCACTGCAGCGGCTTTCAGCTGCTGTTTATTTGTGGGGCTTTCTGTGCAAAGTTTAGTCTTCAACAAGTGAAATGCAAATTTAGTTGGCTTAAGATCAGGTGGCTAACTTGGCCATTCAAGAATATTCCACTTGCTTTAACAAACAGCTGGTTTGCTTTGGCTGTATGTTTTCGGTCATTGTCCATCTGTATTATGAAACGCCGCCCAAACAATTTAACTGCATTTAGCTGGATTTGAGTGGACACCTCAAAATTCATTCGACTGCTTCTGTCCTGTGTCACATCATCAACAAACACAAGTGTCCCCGTGCCACAGGCAGCCATGCACGCCCAAGCCATCACACTGCCTCTACTATGTTTAACAGATGCCATCATTATGGTACAGGTTGATCTTGGCTTCATCTGCCCAAACAATGTTTTTTCCAGAACTGTGCTGGCTTTTGTAGGTGTTTTTTATTTATTTATTTATCAATCAAAGTCCAATCTAGCCTTTCTATTCTTGAGGCTTATGAGTGGTTTGCACCTAGCATTGAACCCTCTGTATTTACTTTCATGTAGTCTTCTCTTTATGGTAGACTTTAATAATGCCTACTTCCTGGAGAGACTCCCTCACTTGGCTGGCTGTTGTGAAGGGGTTTCTCTTCACCATGGAAATGATTCTGCAATCATCCACCGCTGTTTTCTGCCGTGCATGTCCAGGTCTTTTTGCATTGCTGAGTTCACCAGTGCTTTCTTTCTCAGTATGTACCAAACTGTAGATTTTGGATGGCTTGTTTCACCTGCACGGAGAGCTTCTTTGACCACATGTTGTCCATTCAAAGCAAAATCTCCCAAATTTAAGCACCACACCTCAAATCAGTGCCTTTTATCTACTTAACTGATAATAACATAGCTAAGGAATTGCCCACACCTGCCCATAAAATAACATTTGAGACAATTGTCCAATTACTTTTGGTCACCTTTAAAAGAGAGTGGCACATCTTAAGGAGCTAAAACCTTTAAACCCTGCATCCAATTTGAATACGAATGCCCTCAAATTAAAACTGAGAGTCTACACATTATGTCCATTTCCATTATATAACTATAATAGGAATGTGCTTCATAAACAGGTTAAAAACAAAACAAAACTTGTGTCACTGTCAAAATATATATGGACTGAACTTTAATGGAAAAAAAAAATCTCACCAGGGCATGTTGCTGTTTAAATGACCCTTAAGTGAAGATGAAATTTCACAGTTTTGAAAATAACTTCTTGTTGCACTCAGCTCTGATGACAGCTGCCTGGTCACCTCGCCTGCTTATGCTTTTCAAACAATTTTAAATAGTTTGCTTATCCACTCACCAGGCCATCACAAGTACTTATAGCTGCGCTCCCTTTCACAATGGCATCATCCCACACTTCACCCAAGAAATGACAGTGGGAGGATCCAGCAGGTTTGATCCGTGCCCCCTTCAGGCCACCAAACCTCCTCTCAGTCATGAAGCCTGGAGCCAGCAGGTGAGGATTCAGAGTGAGGTTGAAGTGCAAGTTGTGGCCGCCGTGCCAAAACTGGTAGAAGATGCGATCTAGTCCTGCTGGTTCCACTGAGGCTTCCCTGCGCTGTAAACGGCGAGCATGGTGAGACAGGAAATTGGACAGGAAGTGACCCCTGGCATCCAGTCTCGTAGGGTGAACCACCTCGTACAAAGGGAAGTCATCCTGAAATCTTTCTGTAAAAGTGGTGATGGGAAGAAGACTCGTTATTAAATCGCAGGAAACTGGATTGAAATTAAATAACCATGTGGCTGCAAAGCTGTAAACAAAACCGGGGAAACTAAACACACACATATGTGCTAATCTGTCACTTTATCTTTGAATATAACTGACATATATGCAGCACTTCTTAAAAATATATTCTTTGATGCTTCAACCTCATGTTTAATAGTTTGCATTGTTGCTGGAAGACTGAGTTTCACAAACCATCATTTGCTCTGATCTGGAATAGCTTTGTCCAATGCACGGAGAACAGTGTGACAAAAAATATAAGGACTGCGCCTCAAGAAGCAGGATGAGCAGTTTTTCCATCTTATTTCTATCCATACAATTTCATTGTACCTAGCTAAATCTTGCTAAACAGTGTTTATTTCTTTTAGTTTGCAATACTCAGTAATCACTGTACGTTTAGTATCCACTGACAGTACACCCCCCACAGCTGCTATGCTTATCACCACATACAGTCACATGAAAAAACTAAGTACACCACATGATTCAGTAGCTTCTTTAAAACATTGCTTCAGTTTATTAAGGTTTGCAGGCATTTATTGTGTTGAGGTCTGGACTTCACCACTTTAATTTTCTTTTCTTTTTCAGCTATTCTGTTTTAGATTTGCTTCTGTGCTTTGGATAGTTATCCTGCTTCACGATGTAATTTGTGACATGCTTTAGCTGTTGCTCTCACTCTAAAATACTCATGGTTAACTCTATCAATGCAAGATGGCCACGACTTGTGGTTACACAACAGGCCCAAAACATCACCCCTTCACTACCGTGCTTCACAGTTGGTATGAAGTATTCATGCTGATATGCTGAGCTTAGTTTTCGCCAAGTGTGCCGCTGTGCGTTAGGTCCAAATCTCCACTTTATCTCGTTTGTCCAAACAACATCGTTCCAGAAGTCTTGTGCCATGTGCTGATGCACCTTTGCAGACCTAAGATGTGCTGTCTCCCGTCTCCTTGCAACCCTTTCAAAGACCTCATACTCGTTTTGTCTGTTTCTCACTGAACTGTCATAAACGTGAACATTTAACACACTAATGGAGGCCTGTACAATCTGAGATGTGGCGCCTGCAAGGTCTGATTTTTGTGTGACTTTGTCAGGATGTCCACTCCTGGAGAGAATTTAGCAAACTGCTAAAACTTTTGCTTTTATAGAGGTATTCATGTTTGCTGATGATCAATTAATCAACTTCATTTGATTAGCATAGCTTGGCTGCTACTTGCCCTCTTAATTAAAAAGTTGAATATTTAAATGATTTTAATGGTATATTTGCACTAAAGCTAAGTCGTAAATCAATTACAACTTTTTTCCAGTGATAAGAATTTTAATGATAACAACACTGTGAAATATTGATGTTTTTATCCATGTGACGGACACTGTACACATTAAATAATAATTATTACCACTGTCAAAAAAAATAAAATCCCAGCTACTATCTGTTTCACATTCTTTCACTTATTCTGTGCACTCAAAGTACAAGGGTGCAAACCCTCACACTATCATCATTGGCTTTATCTCATTCAAGGGAAATGAAGGAGTGATTATACACAGCCTTGCTGACTCGAGCTCTTACCCTGTCTGCACTGCACAGGATTATCTGCACAAATATTTTCAAGCATACAGCACTTATAGATGATTTGGACAAATATTTGAAATGTCTGACTGAATGAGGAGTTTTCACCTTTTTATTGGCACTTTAATACCGTACCATTATTTTATCGACTTCTCACTTTACCACATGCCTGAGTATTCCAGCCATGCACTTCTTTGATTCGCACTTTTGCTTTTATTTATGAACTTCTGACCATCAACAAATGCCAAATAGTCTTGGATTGATTTGAATTAGTGTAAAGACATGGCTGCCTAAAGCAATGGGCTTGACTGGTTTTCATTTATGTGTATTACTGATGGCAAGAGATTGCTGGAGAAAAAAAAAAACTTTCTTAAAAAATATCTTATCTTCTACTTAAGGTCAAAAGAAAATATAAATATCTTCTTGTAGCCTTAACAATGCACAACAAAGGCATGGAAGGCATTCTTCATGAAAGCAGTGACTGCATATTCCATTCCTACCTTTGTTAGGGAAGCAAAAAGATTTTTAGATTTTCTTGTGACCTTAAGAAGATATTCTTTAAGCAATTGAAACAAATATTTTCTGCAGCTCTTCACAAAGGTCTTTTTCATCTAGAATGAGCAAACCAGCAAATTACTCTCCTGAGGAATTGGACTGTGGATTCGTGGTGATCAGAAACCATCACATTCATCAGAAATAAGTTTTTTTTAATTGGAGTGATTGTGATAAATCTAGGGATCCTTAAGAGTCTTCTCGGATTTGCTAAGACAAATGAACAACACTGATCAGGTTCAGTTAATTTACTTTTTATTCTTTAGTCTTACAAGTAGGTAAGAATAAAAAAAAAATGTCTTTAAACATTTTGTCAAGCGGAAGCCCTTTGCTTATCAAAGTGCTTTTCTACTTTGGGAAACAGTTTCAGGCAGACATCGATATTCCTGTGCAAACATTTAACACCTGAAATATCACTATCTGACAGGTCCCTCCCTCAGTGAGTCATCCTTGCCTAGAATGCCAAACAGTAGCTAGCACACAGTTGATTTGTACAGGATGAGACAGAGTGCACCCACACTTCTTGATCTGTTTGTTTGCCTAATCTCTGGAGAACCCGGGAAGTCTGAGTGGATGAAAGTGCATGAGGTGAAGGCAGGGGGTGCTTCCTACCAGACATGAGGGGTTTAATCCTCTGATGTGATGATATGCACTGGAACAGCCAATACACTTTCTGTTGAAACTGGGTGTATTAAGAGAATAACAATAATGCATCCTGTCTATTCCCCTAAGTGAAACTCTGTTTCCTGCCCTTGACTACTGAAGTCAGAGGTCAGTCACACAGCAGCAGCACTGCACTGGGATTCTGCGTTTTGATCAAGGGCACTACAACAAGGGCGGACCGGGCTTCAGCCTCTGATGATTCATTCAGAAACAGCTCTCTCTACCGCACTTGGTTATAAAAGTTTGAGCATAATTGCTATGGCTGTCCCCAAACGTTGTAAGCAAAAGTTCCAGCTGGCTTCTCATCAGGGAGGAGTGTGGCTGGATTCACTCACAGAGCAAATGCGCACAACAAAAGCAGGCAGTGTACGAGAGCGTTGTGGCATTCGATGTGTTTGAATCTGAAAATGTTTAAAATACTTTAGTTTTCAGGCTCACTAACCTGGTTCATGTGATAATCCCAATCCCAAAGTTTTGCAGTTTTCCAGGACCACCAGGACCGCGATGAAGAAGTGAATGGAAGACGCTCTTTGTCCGAAAGCGTGAAGCCCGCAGTGCAAACGGGTCATTTTGTCAGGACGGTAACTTATATTTTCGAAACATTTAACGCCTTTCTGACACCGCGTCGACTGTCAATTCAAATAGTTCAAATCCATCTGTGCTGGGTGCGTTTCTCGCTTTGTTGCGCCCGTGCACTTACGCTGTGACAGCAACAACAAACTTCTTCACTTCAGGCCTGAGCATTGTCTGCCTCCGCGGGGGGGCTTTTGCTGCATCTTTTTTTTGTGTGTTTTGTTTTATGTCGGTGTAAATGTTTGCTTACAAGTTGCTGGTCCCCCTGTCCTCCATCAGCCTCCTCCCGACAGCCAGTGACAGCTTAAAACTTTGCTGTGAAAACTTTCGCAGAGCCACCCCCACAGATGGGTGGACTTAAGACAATGGGCTCAAGAGAGAGCTGGAGGGCTTAAAGGGGAATGCTACTCCAAGAGATCGGATACAGAGATGCAGTCCAATTGGAAGTTCCTTGGGGTGATTCGGGTTCTCAGTGGGTCAGATGAGGACCAGACTGTTGCGTTCACTTGGAGTAAGACAAATGACTACGCATCGGGGTCGCGCTCTGTACGTTTTGACCGGAGGTTCAAAGCATAAAAAAACAAGTGTTTCCCAGTGGGAACTGTGAGAAAAGCCCGAGTAAAGTCTTAAAAAACAAAACAGCGACTGACATCATCGAGTTCGGGAGATTCCTGATTTTAAAACACATCTGGAAAACCCAGATCTATATCAGTTATATCCCCAAATGTTTTACCACCTTAAGCTAAGCTGGAACAATTAAGAATTATGCCTATTTGGAGGTGGAACACGGCGTAACCAAACTCTATGTTCGACAGTTATTATCCCTCTCCAAAGTAAGCGCGCCCTCTAGTGGAAGAAAAATGTCCCACTATTGCTTGAGCTTACGAAAGTTCTACATGTTGGCCATCATTTTTGACCTATAGTATTCATTTAATATTACTTATAATGAAAGCATTTAAGAAGTACGTTGACATTCCTAAAGGCACGCTCATCTTGGTTTATTGTGTTTGCAAAGACGGGGCGTGTTGGAGCGCGTGAACAGAAATCAACAGGTGTACCGGGTGAGAGAGGCAGGAAGAGGTCTACATCTCGATTGATGTATTCGTTTGAATTGTCTGGATTAAAAGTAACTTTCATCATTTATTTTCTTTTCCTATTTTGCGCATTTACGCACGATTCCTGTGACAAATACAATCCTTCATGGCGGATAAACTATAACAAGAAATTTAACCTGTTCTTCCTTAAAAGCTGCCGGGACCGTAATCCTTTCTGTCACGTCTTACTCGACCAATCGTGGCTCAGCAGAGGAGCGACACACCTGTATAAAAGCAGGTTTCTGGCCAGCTGTTATTCAGAAAGGTGTTATGACTACGAATTTGCATCTAATGGAGATGAAAGGCTAAGGCTTTTTTCATGGCGTGCCTCGTAGAAGAAAATGTTGTGAGTCAAGCTTTATAAATTTAATGATGGAGGAAATGTTTAACCACAGCGGAGCGCTCAACCGAAGTTCAGTGCTCGAAGACATCGACGTGAGCGCGGATGGCACCCCCATTCTGAGGATACTCATATCGGTTGTGTACTCTGTAGTTTGCGCAGTGGGTTTAGTGGGCAACCTCCTCGTCTTTTTTCTAATGAGGTTACGACAAGGTCGAAAGAGGTCCACTATTAATGTTTTCATTATCAACTTGGCAGTGACGGACTTCCAGTTTGTTCTCACTCTGCCCTTCTGGGCTGTGGACACCGCGCTGGACTTCAGCTGGCCGTTCGGAGACGCCATGTGCAAGATCGTCCTTTCGGTCACTGTGATGAACATGTACGCCAGCGTGTTTTTCCTCACCGCCATGAGCGTGACCCGCTACCTGGCCGTCGCCTCGGCTCTAAAGAAAAAAGCGCACAGAAGGTCACGGTGTGTGAAGTGGGTGTGCGCGGTGCTGTGGGTGGCGGCGACAGTTGCCACAGCTCCAACAGCTGTCTTCTCCACTGTGACTGTGGTGGCTGGCGAAAAACTCTGTCTCCTCAAGTTTCCCGAAGGACACGACTGGCTCGCCCTCTATCACATCCAGAAAATCTTGATCGCTTTCATTATCCCCATGCTCATTGTCTCCGTTAACTACCTGATGCTGCTGCGCTTCGTCAGACAGAGGAGCATGGACAGCAGCAACCCTAAACGGAGATCCAGAGTCACCAAATCTGTCGCTATAGTAGTTTTGTCTTTCTTCTGCTGCTGGATGCCAAATCATGCCATCACCTTCTGGGGCGTGTTGGTCAAATTTAACGCAGCAAACTGGGACACGTCGTATTACATGGTACACACCTACGTGTTCCCGGTCACCGTGTGCTTGGCGCACGCAAACAGCTGCTTAAACCCGGTGCTTTACTGCCTGATGAGGCCGGAGATCAGGAAGATGCTGAGCGGATTGTTTTGGAAAGCCTCCACTCCGTCATCCACGAAAGGTTGCGCCACGCGCTCCATGACACAGGCAGAAACCCAGGGAGCTACGCCTCTCCAGATTATAGACAATGCGGAGTACACGCTGTCCATCATAGACCGTAAGGGTTTATCAGCCTCTAAAGTCCTCCCGTATACTCGTTAACTGTAGCCTCGTGATAAAGAAGACGACGCTTTGTGGTCCACCTGTAGATGTCTTCATTACGCGTGCGTAAAACGCTTTCGCATCGGTCCCAGTCTAAGTGTTTGGATGGGTTGCATCGCAGATTCACACCGTGTGCGCTTTTTTTTTTGCACCGCGATGCAGAAAGGCGCAGAGTGTTGTTTGTTTCACTGTGACAACTAAACTTTGAATTTCTCCCAGTTTTGCTGTCCAGCTCGCGTTTCTCCTTGTCGTGATTGTTAAAGACAAACAAGAAATAACCGTGACGAGAGGGAGACACGGGACAGCAGGGAGCTCGAGGAAATCCAGCTGGATTTCCTCGAGTGGAAATCCAGCTGGGGACATTAGGATGGGGGTCTGGGGGGATTTTGATTGTATTTTTAATTTTCAGTGGTTTTGCTCGTGTTTGCTACCATGATTTAATTTAAAAAGTGCCATGTTCATCAGTCCTGAGGCACCTCTTAAAGGACTGACGTGTACTGTATAGTGAGCCTGCAGTCTGTGAAAATAAAATAAACCATGTTCTAAAAGTGTATGCGCAGAGGAGAGTCTATTATTTGTTTTCTCACTTAAACTGACATCAACTAAAACTGTGTTTTAACACTGAATTTTTCTTTCAGTCAGCAAAAAGGCGGGTTGCAGACAAAAAGTGTGTAACCAGTTTGCTGTCCTGTGCTTACGTTTTTCTAAAGGTGGATTCTTTTCTTTTATCGTCCCAATAATAAATGAATTGATCCTTTGCCTTCAATTCAATTCAATCAGGAAACGGCTACAATAAAATAAAGAAGTCATGTTAAATGCAATATATAGTGTCAGCACCTCCAAGACGCTTTTCATCACATTCAGTCCTTTCTGTTGTAAATGTTGAATTCCTATCCTGGCACATGTCAAAAAACAAAAAAACAAAAAACCCCGGGCTCTCACAGGTAGCCCAGGAGGAGAAGCTGACAATGGCTGCACAGGTTCCAGCAGTCGCTTTGGCAGCCGTAGTGACGCAGATCTTCGTCAGACGATTCAGCTAACAAAATGCAAAATGAATTCATTCAGTCCAAAATCACAAACCGGGGGGGTGGGGGGGTTTAGATTCTAAGTGCCATCTTCTTTACCAGGACAGCAATATTTAATGAAGCGCTGATATAACAATGAATTACTAATTCACTTTTTTTTCCTGGGAGGAAACATTTCAGCAAACTGACGCGCGCTCATTTGCATTTGGGATTTGAGCAAACTGTTCAAACTAAGCATGCATTTTGCAGTTTTCCTTTGATGATTCCTGCAATAAAGGTTTATTTTTGCTTTGTTGTGGTCACAGGCAAAAAGGAAGAAACCCCAATTAATACATTTTGTACTTGACTGAATAAAAACGAGCACCTATTTCCCCCTTTTCACAAAAAACAAGTTGCTTAATTTTTGTGAAAATGCTCAGACTTTCATTTTTCATGTCTACTAATCCACATTTGCAATGGGATGTGGTAATATATGTTAATGTAACCGCACTTATATTGTATGGTAATATATTCTGCTGCTTGCCTTGGGCTGTGTTTGTGTGGCTGCTTTCTTTTAGCTACCTCTGTCTTTTTTTATTTTTTCTTTATCAAATATTGCGGCTTTTCCTCTTCGGGGATCAATATGCTTTCACGGCAACACTCTTGATGCCAGATTGTGCCCATGTGTCCGCTGGTTGAATCCAATCTGTTATCACAAAATACCTAATATGATGTAAACACTCTAAAGTTAATTTAGTTAGTTATGTTTTTAAGTCGATATGAAGCATTTGAAATGATTCTTCTTTGTTTATAGATTAAAATTTATTTTGATTTATTGACAGCACCTAAGCCTGGCAGAAACCTGTAGAATTTAAATTGCTCCGACCAGCAGGTGGCTATGTAGTCAGTGCTGTTTAATAAAATGCAAATTTCTTACTTTATTCTATTCATTTCAGTTATTGGTTGGCCTGCTGTTTTTTTTATTTTTTTATTGATTTTTGTGTAATTTACTGACTGCTAGTACTGGCTTCGATCCCCTTTTGCCTTCAGAACTGCTTTAATTCTCCGTGGCACAGCTTTAACATTCCTCAGAGATTTTGGTTCATATTGACATGGTAGCATCACACAGTTACTGCACATTTGCAAACCCATCCATCCATTCGCTTCCGCTTATCCTTTTCAGAAAGAGAGAGATAAAGTGGGCAAAAACAAACAAGAGACGGACTCGCGACAGAAAAGCCGATCAGCTGATCATTAAGCAGTTTCATGATTGAAGTAGCAGCAAGAAGAGGCAGTCGCTCCATATATCGTTGTTAAGCTTAACGCAGGAATGCTTTACAAACATTCAGAGATGGACTTACACACTTGCTTTACTTCTCTCGGGGATAACTTTGTCGGAGATGAAATGCCGGGTTGCTAGCGAAGCTCCAAATGCTATCCAGACCACCGACAGGTCCCGCATGCCACAGCCGCTCTATCACGTGATGCATACTGCTCCGACGTGCTAACGTTCTGAGGTGAGTTACGGCGTGTTGCAAGTTTTGTGAGGTGCTTTCGTGATATTTAATGGATCGGATTACATTTTTTATTTTTCTCCGATATCCGATCCAGTAATTTAGGTCAGTATCGGACCGATACCGATACGTAATATCGGATCGGTCCATCTCTAGTTATAATGATCCCTTTTTCTTGAATACTCGAGTTGTCCCTGTCCAGTGTTAAAACTGAATTTTGTGTCATAAGCAGTGTTGTCAAGTTACTTGAAAAAAGTAATCAGTAACTAATTACTGATTACTTCCCCAAAAAAGTAATCCCGTTACTTTACTGATTACTTATTTTCAAAAGTAATTAATTACTTAGTTACTTAGTTACTTTTTAAAAACACGATTTACAACCTGAATAGGTGATAAAGCGATAGATCTTTCAGCCCAATTCTACTTTTTCTCATAATCCATCATACA